TCAACTTTACCATTTATGGATATGACAAAAGTACCCCTTATCCTGTAGTAATATTTACAAAATTGCCCTTATTTGATGATGAAGATGTCATAAAAAGTAAATTTTTTTAAAAAAAACTACAAAATTAGTAAATTCACTCTTCAGAACTCTCTCTATCTTTAACTTTGTAATTTGAAGTGTTGTGAAGTTTAGATTATCTCATATATATATATATATATATTATTTTCCCTTTTTCAGAAAGCTTGTGTTTTATTTTTTGGGTAACTTTTATTGTTTTTAATAAAACTATAAAATTTTTCGTTATCTTTAGTTAAATAGTTTATCATTTTATTTATTTATTTAGAAAATATTTAATTTTTTTAGTGTCTCTTTTAGGTAGTAAGTTCGAATTTTTTTAAAACAATAAAGTCGTGTTATGTTTTATATTTTGGTTGAATTGGGTTTTTTATGGAAAGGTTTCTCACATAATAGAGAGTATGTTAGTTCAAGGTTATGTTGTACAAAAGATAATGGATGGAAATACCAATCTTTAATAGAGGGTAGAAGATTAACTTTAGAATAGGACTTTAAGAGGTGTTAGCTACTGTTTAATAGGGGGTAGAAGATTAACTTTAGAATAGGACTTTAAGAGGTGTTAGCTACTGATAAAATGGTGGTTAATTTTTATAGAATAAAAAAAAGTTTTTTGTTTTTGTCGAGAGAGACCCTTCTTGGGGGTGTTTTTTTCTTCTCTTGTGCTTGTGGTCACCTGGCGGAGGGCTCCAATCTGCATGTTCATTCATTCAATTTCCTATGTATTTTTATTTTTTTCTTTAAAATGCAGTTATTCTGTTGGTATCGGCTACCAATAAATTTCAAACTGCGTCAGATCTAAAGCAGAAATAAAGAAGATGCGCTTTTTCTCTTTTTTATTTGTGGACTTACTAGGTCGGATACAGCGGACTTGGACTTCTTCTCCTTGATGAGCTCCGAAATGGTTACAATGCTGGTTGGAGATGAAGCACGAGGATGATTTGAAATAGAACTTCTTCTTGGAAGAATGGGGATTCTCTCAATTGAACCCAAGAAAGGATGGCTTGTCTTGAGGCATGAAGGACGCTGCTCTACAAAACTTTTGGATCTGAGGCATGAAGGACGCTGCTCTACAAAACTTTTGGATCTGAGGCCATGGAGAGGAGGATGTGGGATCTTGACAGCCGAGAACACAGACATTGTATCAGAAGAAGAACAACTTGAGAGAGAGAGTGTTGAGAGTGTCGAAAGAGGCAGCGGAGAGAGAGAATAAGAGGAGAGAGGGCGAAGGAAAGGAACCTCTAAAGAAGTTGGTTGGCAGCTTTCAAAGCAGGCCGTTATGTATGGTAGGGTTCACCCTTTCATGGACACTAGAAAGTGGGTCACTCCCCAGCCCTCTCTTTCTATTGGACAAGGTTTTCACGAGGCTACATAGAAATGAGTCCTTTTTTAAAAATATATTTTTTTGATGGATTTTTGGACCCAGATATATGATCTCTAATAAAAAATAAATAAAATTTAAAATTAAAATAGAAATTTTATGGATAAATCATTTGGTTTGTTAGTTTTAATTGTTTTTAAATGGACTACCCATTTGTATCCAACTTCAAGATGGATGCTTTATACTTGGTGGGATGCAAATGGAGAAAGTCCCCAGACACATGGAACAATTTTATTGTGTGGGAGGGGGTGGACTTTCTTATGAAAAAGGACATAATAAAGAGGGACGTTGTTCGCACGTGGGCATAGCCCCGTGCCTAACTTTAACCATCCACGGTAGGTGGTGATTGAAAGAGATGATCTTTCAAGCACCACCATCAAACTAAGATGGCATACCTGTGTATAATTCTTTTGAGTAATGATGGTATAGGACCCTCCCCCAGCCATGTGTGTGGGACCCTCAAAGGATCACTATTAAAGTTGGTGTGGATTTCTAAAAAAGTTATCCCAGAATGTAAGATATGACTTTTCTATGGATCCGTGCCAAATTTAATGGTAATCCTTTGAAGTCCTACACACATGGGTGAGAGAAGGTCTTATAAGATCATTTTTCAATTATTTTTCCTTCTTAAATTACCTTTACTTGTACTATATCTATCCCTCGTATAGGGTAGTAACTGATAATTCCGTCAACCTCTTTTCGGTCCCTTTTTTTAAAAACTATTTAAGGGCTTCGTTTGGGGATATAATTAGTTCTTCTTCTGATAGGGATGACAAATGATGCTTTGGCCATGTAGAGTCAATTTTGTCAATTGTAGATGTTATGCAACACCTACTGGAGTCGATTATAGTACGTCGAAGGGGGGAGAATAATTAAAATAATAATAACATAGAAAGGGTATGTGATTCACAGGACGAATTTCATTGTTTTATTTATAAGAATCTGAAATTAGAACAACAATATTGTTAAGGAAAAATATATTTAAAACTTTAACTACTAAAACTATAATCCTCGAAGGGAGAGAATAATTAACAAAATAATAACATAGAAAGGGTATGTGATTCAGAGGACGAATTTCATTGTTTTATTTATAAGAATTTGAAAATAGAAAAACAATATCGTTAAGGAAAAATATATTTAAAAATTTAACTACAAAAAAAAGAATTTATAAAGTCACATATATTTTTGTTCAAGTAATCAAAGAGAAATTGATTTGGAGCAATTCATTGGGCTCCAAATCGTTTCTTTTTTCTAAAATTGACTTCGGAGCAATCAATCCAAACTTAATTTGCAATGTAAATGTAGGAATTTTCTGTTCAACAACGTCATATATATATATAGATATGGAAAAAGTTTCCATAAGGTTGCAGCCTTAAATTGTAGAAATACAGATGCACCTCAAAAATCTATCGAATTTTTTTTTTTAATGTTAAAAAACCTCTAATTGATCATCTCGACATTGAGATGTATGGATATGAAAAAAACAAAAGATTTTGAGTCCGAGAAATAGTGCATCTTGGAACATATTATCTAGATCGTCCATTTTCAAGTTTATCATGTCTATGGATCTACTTGATTTTTACTATTTT